CAGGGGCTCATGCCACTCAGCACGCAGGGGCTCATGCCACTCAGCACACAGGGGCTCATGCCACTCAGTACACAGGGGCTCATGCCACTCAGCACACAAGAGCTCATGCCACTCAGCACGCAGGGGCTCATGCCACTCAGCACGCAGGGGCTCATGCCCCTCAGTACGCAGGGCTCATGCCACTCAGCACACAAGGGCTCAAGCCACTCATGCCGTGGCTTGAAAATCAAGCGGCGGAAATAACGACGTCAAGCGGACCACCGACGCCGCTACCGTCGGTAACGATAAGGTGTGTTAACGATAACTGCTGACAGCGATATTATCCGTTTACAATAATGCTCGATAACAATAAAGTTCTTTAACGCTAACACCCGATAGCGATAAAGTTCTTTAACGATAACACCCGATAGTGATAAAGTTCTTTTTAACGCTAACACCCGATAACGATAAAGTTCCTTAACGATAACACCCGATAGTGATAAAGTTCTTTTTAACGCTAACACCCGATAACGATAAAGTTCTTTAACGATAACACCCGATAGCGATAAAGTTCTTTAACGATAACACCCGATAGCGTTAAAGGATAACACCCGATTGCGATAAGGTTTGTTAATGATAACCGGCGATAACAATAGAGATACTTCACGGTGGCAATCGGTAACGATGAGTTTCGCAATCGATTGCCATCAGTAACGATAAGGCTAGTCTACATTACGGCTCATTAACGATTAAGTTTGTCACTGATAAGTTTCGTTAAAAAATGTTAATCAGCTGCATATTAAAGTTTAAATCGTAAATAACGTCAGTCGAAATAATGGCAAATTCAACGTACACGATTTATAGTATGTCTAAATCAGAGGTTGTTTCAATTCAGCAGGCAAAGAAAATGCAAATACGAAAAAGACTTGCAATTAACCTGTATTACAAGTCAAAACTTGAATTACAATCACCGTCTTAGGCTCAAAGTGTTTAAAAATATTAAAGTATTAAAGTGTTTAAAAATATTCAGAGCTTTGAAGCATTATAAATAAGTCATCCGTTAGGAATGTTCATTAATGAGCGTTCAGAATTTCTAAGATGTGAACATTTCCTGCCTGCGATGCTATAGCGTTATTATGACCTTAGAATATGACGGCCGCAGAGTGCTGGTTTCCGTTCTGGGGGAGACCGGTTTCTGTGGGTGTAAATTGTACGGCGGAGGAACAGACGGGTTTCTGTGGGTGTAAATTGTACGGCGGAGGAACAGACGGGTTTCTGTGGGTGTAAATTGTACGCCGGAGGAACAGACGGGTTTCTGTGGGTGTAAATTGTACACGTAACTCACACGGTGACTGTAACTTATACGGTGGCAGAAACTTATACAGTGGCCGTAAATAATACAGTGGCAGTAACTTATGCGGTAACTGGAACTTATACGGTGGCCGTAACTAATACGGTGGCAAAAATTTATACGGTAGCTGGAACTTAATTATACAGTGGCCGTAACTAATACGGCAGCTGTAACTTATACGGTGGCCGTAACTAAAACGGTGGCAGAAACTAATACGACGGCAGTAACTTATACGGTGGTCGTAATGCAATTTACGCCGTATGAAAAACACAATAATACAAAAAATAAAGTAGTCATTTTATACAAATTCAGATAAAATTTTCAATTTTCATAATTTTCTATTATAATAAATAGAAAATAAATCAACGTCCGAAAAACACTTTAGTTTTGTACGCGATTTTTTGATGTTCTACAGTGCGTGGCACAAACTGTGATGACACCACAGGACAGGGCACATTGTGCTGTGTTGTGCCGCCGTTCAATGTTCCTCACGAGCACGTTTTTGTACACAAAAGTGTCTAAGTATCCCTAAAAGAACACCTTGCCAGGTAAAAGCCTTCCAGGATGCACGTTCAGGCGTGGAAAACGAACTTGAAATCCTAAAGCAAAATTCTGGAGCGTAAAATGCATGCAGAATAGGAGTACCTAGCACTACACACAGTGTTAATGGCTATACAGACTACACAGCATTAATGGTTACACAGCAATAATGACTATCCACACTATATAGCATATATGGCTATACAGACTACATAGAATTAATGGCTGTGCAGACTACACAACGATGAAGTCAATACAGACTATAGAGGCTAAGTGAATATTCTGAATAAACAGCCTCAGTGGCTAAAGTGGTTACCGGCTCTCACAGCCTACACATCCTATCATTCACCACAGCCTATCCAGCCTACCATTCACTACAGTCTACCCAGCCTAAAATTCACCACAGCCTACCCAGCCTACCCATCACCACAGCCTACCCAGCCTATCAATCACCACAGCCTACCCAGCCCACTATTCACCACAGCCTACCCAGCCCACTATTCACCACAGCCTACCCAGCCTACCATTCACCACAACCTACCCAGCCTGCAAATGAACACAGCTCACCTGAGTTTGAGTTAGACCGAGTTTAGCTGCGAGTTCAGCTCGCTCGGGCAAGGCAAGATACTGGGTGCGTTGGAACATCTTGTTGAGCTGTTGAAGTTGAAGACTTGAGTATATGGTGCGCGGCTTGCGTATCTTTTTGCCCTTAGCTGTGACGCGCACCTCTCCCCCCTCCGGCTTCTCCGTCACTGAAACGTAGGAGAAAACATCGTAGAATATATAAGCTGGAATATCAGGCGTGTTCAGAACAAATTAGAATACAAGTTAAATTGTATTAAATTATAAGTGAAATAGTATTTAATTACAAGTTAAATTGTTTTAAATGATAAGTGAAATAGTATTAATTAAGTTATACGTAAAATAGTAATAAATTACAGGCAAATTAGTATTAAATAACAGGTATAATAGTATTAAATTACAAGTAAAATAATAGGTACGAGTAAAATTGTATTAAATTACAAATACAATGCATCAAATTTCAAGTGAAATATTATTAAATTGCAAGTAAAATAGCATTAAATTAAGAGTAAAATAGTATTAAATTGCAAATTTAATAATAATAAATTACAAAAAAGATAGCATTACATTAAAAGCAAAATGGTATTTAATTACAAGTAAAATATTATTAAATAATAAGTAAAATATCATTAAATTAATAGTAAAATATTACTAAATTACAAATAAAATAGTATCAAATTACAAGTAAAAAATTACTAAGTTACAAGTAAAATATGATTAAATTGCAAGTAAAATAGTTTTAAATTGCAAAGTAAATTTTTGGACCAGAAAAAAAATCTGTAACACAAATCCAGCTAAAACATAAAATAATTCCAGTTTTAACTGGGAGTACAAAAACCAACTTGGGCTAATATTTAAACTTTGGTTTACAAACGCTCCATCAAAATCTGTATCAACAAATAATTCTACGAGATTTAATACTTTTTTGCCAACTCAAACAGCGACAAAGACACAGAATTCATCTATCATTCATGATGAGGCCATCGAGTGATTGTTTTATTAACTCAGATTTTGTGTTTTGCTAACACACGATCTTTATATACAAAAAACATCGCACAATTTAAAGTCCCGTTTCACTCGTTTCGGATTTCCACTTCACAGATGCTATAAAAAATCTCACAAAGTATAAAAAATTTTGCTAAAAGGATAGGTTTTAAAGCGTTTTTGAGAGACGAGTTTTTAAGACATTTTAAAAGGAGAAAGAGGGTGAAATATTATATAAATAAATGAATTTAAACGATATAATAAGGCAGATTCGTTTAGGATATTTTACACGGAAATTGGGTTCATAATAATTCCAATAACATTGGATTAGAGAGGGTTAATAATAATAATGGGTTTGAAATTTTCAATAAATAGCATAGGCTCAAAAGACTAAACGATAAAAATGGGTTTGAAAATTTTATGAAGATAGTGGGTTTAAAAGATTGTTAGAAGATAATAAGCTTAAAAGATTTTACAAATAAAAGAATTTTAATGACTTAATAAAGAAATTGGGATTGACAGATTCTATGAAGGAATATGTTTAAATAATTTTACAATGAAAATAGGCTAAATATTTATGAATAGAATTGCTTCTTAATATTTTATTAAGAGAACGCTTTTAAAATATTATAGTATGAATTACCTGCTGAAAATAATTTGTTCTATATCTTTCTATGAACAAAATGTGTCTGAACCTTTCGTAAAAAGAATATCTTTAAAATATTCCCTGAAAAGAATGTGTTTAAAACATTTTCTGAATTGAATGGGTTTGTATGGAGGAGCTTCTATTGTTCGTTCGCTGCGAGTTGAAGTCATTGGAGTGCCAGAGTTGTTATTGATCCTAGGGAGATAAATAGCGTTCACTCACGCGATGCATTGTATGGAGCTATCATGTACACCACGCGTCATGTAGACGCGTTCACCACATATCATGTAAATGCGTTCACCACATATCATGTAGACGCTTTCACCACATATCATGCAAACGCGTTCATCACATGTCATGTGGACGCGTTCACCACATATCATGTAGACGCGTTCACCATCTATCATGTAGACGAGTTCACCATGTTTCATGTAGACGCGTTCACCACCTATCATGTAGACGTGTTAACCAACTATCACGTAAACGCGTTCACCACTTATCATGTAGACGAGTTCACCATGTTTCATGTAGACGAGTTCACCATGTTTCATGTAGACGCGTTCATCACCTATCACGTAGACGCATTCACCATATATCATGTAGACGCGTTCATCATCTATCATGTAGACGCGTCCATCATCTATCATGTAGACGCGTTCATCATCTATCATGTAGACGCGTTCATCGTCTATCATGTAGACGCGTTATACGCATTACGCACTATCGGACGCATTACGCATTAATATGCGCATGACGCATAAACGAAAGCATCACAAACTAAAGTATGCAATAAACATTAACGTATGCATTAAGCATTAATGCACGCATTCCGCATTAACGTATGCATTACGCATTAAGGCATGCATTACGCATTAACGTATACATTACGCATTAACGTATACATTACGCATTAACGGATACATTACGCATTAAGGAATGCATTACGCATTAACGTATACATCACGCATTAAGGCATGCATTACGCATTAATGTATACATTACGCATTAAAATGCGCATTACGCATCAACATGCGCATTACGCATCAACATGCGCATTACGCATTAACATGTGCCTTAAGCATTTTCATGCTCATTAGGCATTACCATACGCATTAGGCAGTAACGAAGGCATTGCGCGTTAACGTATGCATTTCACCTAAATGAATGCAGTACGCAATAAATCACGCATTACGCATTAACGTATGCATTGCGCAGTAATGTACGCATGAAACATTAACGTATGCATTACGCTTCAACTTACGCATTATGCACTAACACATGCATTACACATTAACGTACGCATTACGCACTATCGGACGCATTACGCATTCATTGAGCGCTCAGCGGTAACGAGTGGAGGTGCATGGTTGCCGTGGCAGTGCGTATAATTGATACGCACACACCAGCTTACGCACGAACGCCTACACACGACACGACTGCAGCAGTGGGAAGTAGTCTCAGAACCAGCATTGCAGGAACCTACAAAGCCGGGTAATTTAGTTTAATGGCTTGCTAGATTACATAAATAAATAGAAATCTGTGCAATTTGAGAATGCTATGGTCTCGAACCCACAATTCTTTTTAAATTAAATAGGCGTAATTGACGAGGACCAATTCAAACTAACATTTAGTACTACGGAATTCTCATTCAAGTATTTTATCAATATTTAAAAGAGACAAACATCTTATTTCTGAATATAATGTTTAACTAACTAAAGTAGAAATTAAATTTTTTAATTTTACCTTCCTCTCCATTTTTCAATGCCACGGAATAAACCCATTCAAAATAAAATTTCCAGTAAATACCCCGACACGATACGTATCCTAGATACGCTCTCCAAAAGCCCCAACGTACAATATCCCGACACGATAAGTATCCTGGATACGCGCCCTAACAGCCCCTTATTTTACGGCGCTTGGCGCGCAACACAGCACATTCGAAAAATACTATATAGTGACCATACAACAAAATACCGAACGAATAGAAAAGAACGAATAAAGTAGTGAGCCTTCCCACTTGTCATCTGATGTCATAATAACGTCGATTAAGGATTGTTTCAACAAAATAAACCCTTATTCGACGATGTGCGTGTCATTTCAAGCACATATATCAAAATATCGCTAATCCGACACAAAAAATAGTGACAGCGTATGCAAAGTGTTGCGTGCAGGGTAGCGCATACAGAGTGTTGCGTGCAGGGAATCGTATGCAGAGTGTTGCGTGCACGGAAGCGTATTATACGCGACGCCGGCGACACGCTCGCGTGAAGCATAATCGATGTATGGCGTATGGCTTGCTGGCTCAGTGGTGTAGTGGTTCACTGGTGCAGGGTGCAGTGGTGCAGTGGTACAGTAACTCAGTGGCCAAGTGGTGCAGTGGGTGATGCAGTGGCAAAGGACAGGCATTTAATGTCCAGTGTTCTTGACGGTAATGCAGTAACTGAAGTGCAATGAACTGTCCATCTCAGTCCATCTGTAATGCAATTATTGACTGCAATGGAATAGACTGTACCGGAACAGACTGAAATGAAATGAAGTGTAATGCAATGGACGGTAATGCAATGGGCTGTAGTGCAATGAACTGTAGCGGAATGTCTACAAACGCAATCAATTAATCATGGAAATCAATGGAAACTGAAGGGTGGCGCGGTTTCAGGCATGCTGCAATCACATCAACTTAGAAATATTTTGTTGTGAATACTGGTATATAATAATATTTGTTTATGTTCGGATGCTTGATTTGTTTTAGATAGGAAATTCGAATTAAGGGATAGTTTAATATACGCGGAAGTTTTGAATTGAAAGGGAATAGGGGAAAATTTTGGAGGTGCTGATCGAGGAATGCCTGTGAATACTTTTTCTTTTTCCAAATATTATGGAATGTTATGAACCTTTGCCGAATATTTAGTAATACTATTATTATTAATTGAGGACACGTAGGATTATTTTAGAGATGCTTTGGACATGAAAGCTACAAGGAATGCTTGGGAAATATAAGATGTATCGTGTAAGTGACTACAGCGTTCACACAGGATTTTGAATCAATCCACAGTTACCCACGCGTTCACTCACTATCATGAGTAATAGTGCATGCGATGAAGATATGAATCGAATTCGTATATATTTGTAGATTCGTATGCTATAGCTACATAAACTACCTTCATAAATATTAATCAGGTTCGATTTCGAAGTGTCAATTTCCCGCTGTATGTCATTATGTCAACTAAAATTTCCGGCTGCTGGTGACATTAATCTCTGGATTTGACGAATGATTTCAATCATATAATTGAAGACAATCCAGACTTAATTTAAAGCACTAGAATATTTAATCAAAATTTCTTTCAAGCAAGTATATTGGCTCATTGTATATGTAGTATGGTATTGCGTATGATACAGCAATGAGACGCGAGAGCTTCATGCGAGTAAATACAACCTACATAAATCAGTGAGAGATTTCATTAATATTCTGAGTTCATTGGACGTGATCATTTACAACCCATGTAGCTGCTTTAAGATTATCATGAATTTTATTTCACAAATTCAAAACTTCAACGCTATAAAATTAATATGAATAAAAAAGCATATAGAGTAACCAAATCTAATTCTGTATCAACTATTGAAATCAAGCTTACAATAACTAAATATTATTCTAAATTTATGAACGCTATGTTGAAGTCAAGAAATGTTGTCCTGGATATTGGATTTTCATTTGATTCTTCTGGGAAAATAATGATAACGATTGAGGATTTTTTCAGAAAATACAAACATGGAAAATTACCTCCACGGCTGTGAGTAATATCCAAAATACGATTTTAAGAAAGCAAAGACTTGGTTAATACTGCGCATTTTTAACATGGTAACATAAAAATACTCAAAATGTAGACTTCTCGATATAATTTTCAGTCAACATCGGAAAATTACTGAAAATGTACTGTTTGATATTTATCTGTTACAATTCTAATGGCAATGCCTAATTAATTATCATAATTGGTTGCCAGCTGTATTTTTCGTTTGATGGTAAATATGATCTAAAATCCTAAATTACTTCCAGTAATAAAAAATTCTAAACAGTGAAAATAATTTAACCTCAATAGTAACAATACTTTAACCCAAATATTGAAAAAACAACCTAAACATTTAAAATATTGAATCCCCAAAAACTAGAATATATGAAGCTAAATAACTTTATTCATTGAATCAATGTGTAAATAAAATTTAAATTGCATTGAATTATTTTATTTTTGAGAACCCTTTTAGTTTGCAAAGACGCTATTAATTACTCCACCCGGTAATTTTGGAATCCAATTATCGCTTTTCCGTAAATCCTAATCTTATTAAAATTAATAAATTTTAAATATTATAATGTATTAAAGACGTAAAACCCACATTTAACGGGGAAGATAGGACTCCCATTTTACTATCGCTTCAAAATATGGAAAAAACAATATTACGCGTTATAAATTAAATTCATTTTACCAATTCAAAAATTAAATTAAACTATTTGATGCTCTCCTATTTCGTCACGATGAATAAATTCTTAGATGCAGGTAATATCCGGACTCGATAAGTATCCTGGATACGCGCCCCAACAGCACAATATCCCGACACGATAAGTATCCTGGATACGCGCCCCAACTGCCCCTATATGCAATATCCCGACACGATAAGTATCCTGGATACGCGCACCAGTAGCGCCTAAAAGCTGCGGCTCCAGGCGCACAACACTTGAACTTTAACAAATACCAACTGACATTGTTGATGCATAGGATAACATTTTTCAAAAGTTGAGGTGTTGTGAACCTGGTATTACAAAATATATAGGGGCTGTCGGGGCGCGTATCCAGGATAATTATCGTGCCAAGATTTTGCCTGTTTTATTTCACTTGCAAAGAATTCTGGGTATTGAAAAACGGAATGTCGATTTGCAAGTAATAGGTGATGATTACTTTGACGAGATTATATTTCAGGTTAAAATGTTCAAGGTTTTTTTTCGAATTTTTAAACATGACTAGAACGACAGTCTTGGGCTTCAGGTGTGTGAGGTCGCTTATTTATTTAATTTCGGTATTTTAAGTTTCAAAATTATTAACTATCTCACAAATGACAAGATTCGGAATAACGGTATTCAGGATAACGGGAATGTCGAATTGCAAGGAATGAATATCCCGAGTAACGCCGGGTTAGACTGCCAATTAATTGTAAATATTATCATAATCTAAAATAATCGATGTTTACGTATTATTTTACTCTGATTTAAAGATAAGTCATGAAGTATTGGAAAATTTCTAATTATTGAATACTCAATCACACCCATATATGAGGGATATAATCCATGCTATATTTTCAAGTTATTCTGGTACACCAAAATCATTGATCACTTATGAAACATCGCATACAATTGCGCAACTGAAAACTAACAATCCGGTTAATTATTTAAATTAACAAACAAACCACCTGACTTTTCATCGGAGAATATCCAATCAAGATAACAAACTTGGCAATAGCCATCTGGTCGAGAGCGACAGATAATTATACTGTCGCTAAACACCGACCATAACTGGGAGACAGGAAGCGGCCTGTGACCATCTGACCAGGGCCAAAAAGATAGCCAACTAGTTACTGGCCTCTGACCATCTGGCCAGAACCAGGACGATAGCCAACTGACCACTGACCATCCGACCAACAATGATGCATCACCATCTATTTCATCACAACGCAAGGGTTACACAATCAACAAATCACTATTAGACGAGCGTCACTAACAACGCAACAAGGTAGCAATTATAACAAGCTCTCACCATAAATTAAGTACGACATAAGCATTCATTCACCATCAGTAAGGTATAACACAAGCATTCATTCACCATCAGTAAGGTATAACACAAGCATTCATTCACCATCAGTAAGGTATAACACAAGTATTCGCTCACCATAAGTGAGGGATAAGACATGTTCATCATAAGCCATGCATAAGACACTCACCATCAGACGCAGGACTGGATGCGTGTGGATATCCCGCTAAGGAGTAGCCGTAGCCATTCTGCGCGTACATGGCTGCAGGGAAGCCATATCCCATGTTGTTATATCCAGCCATGGTTTGTTGGTATTGCTGGAACTGAGAGTATGAAGCCAGGTGTGGTGGTGGCTGCTGCACGTCACCTAATCCATTCTTCGATAACAAATCCTGATCCAACATTTTGACTTAAACTTGATTTCAATACCACTTTTTGATATCAAAAATATTTTAATAAAAAGCTACAGGTGCAAATTACGCTTCGGGTGTCACTGATTAAATATTTAAAAAGATAAATATTTACCCAACATTTTTCCTAAGTTCACAGATCCTCGCAACTTTCACTGTTCCGAACTCAAGCTTCAAAGTTTGGCATGAAAGTTAGCGGCGAGCGCCGTGCTTGCAACGCTCGGCGAGCCTCCACCTGCTAGCCGTTATCAACTTCCAATTAGACTGCCTCTTAGAATCTTGATGATGGAGCCATAGCGAAAAAACAGCACCTATTGAGATAAATGAGTCCCCTGACAATAACCTGATCACTGCTTTATCACTGGCGACAATTATGTCAATTATCCGCGAGAACGGTGGTTCCTAGGCGCTATCTTCTGCTACACTGGAACTTCTCGGCCACTCGGCCTGGGTAAGCCGGCCTCCTGGAATCCAGAAAGCCTTTATCCACCAATCAGGGAACATATGAAACATCCAGGACAGCTCCCTCTGGCCCAGGGTTCCAGGAGAACCCAGCACGATTGGTCACAAAGCTTCAGCCCGCCCCGCGTCTGGCCCAGTCTCCAGCGGCCGCTGAATGCCAGCGTTCGTTGCATGAACTTCACAAGACGGCCGCTCAATCTTCGTATATTTCTACTGCTGCTGCTCCCTACACTCGCTTTTTTATCTTTATTTACAAAGGCGAGCTTCACTGAATAATGCTTGCCAATAAAGTTCGTACAACAGCAAAGCTATGTTTTTAAGTTCCACTGAAACACATTTCCTTGTGGCAATCTCAG